CTCAAAAAAAAAAAAAAAAAAAAAATAGTCCCAGGGGTAATGAGTAGGCCAGCCCAGCCACCTTCGGATCCGAAATCCCCAGCCCTCCTACGTGCCTCCTTTTCTTTAATCACAGCTGCAGTTCAGCATCATCATCAAGCCGCTGTTTGAGTCGTTCAAGGGCATGGTGTCCACCAGCAGCCTGGAGGAGCTGCACCGCACGGCGCTGTCCTGGCTGGACCAGCACTGCTCCCTGCCCATCCTCAGGCCGAGTGAGTGGGGCAGTGCCAGGGCGGGGGGCTCATGCTAGTCCTGGAAGGAGGATAGCCCCGGGCTGAGGACAATGTTGGGGGAAATCCAGACTCCACTTCGGGCAGCCAGGCAGCGCCAGGGCACAATGCCATCCAGGAGGCCCTCAGGAGCCCCCAGTGGGGGCAGGAGTGGGCACCAGGCTCCTGCCCTCGGGTTCTGCCAGCCTGCTCAGATCCCAGCTTGCATGGATCAAGTGCCCACTATTTGTCAGGCCCTGTATCAGGTGCCTTCAGGTGTGTTTTCTTGTTTAATTCTGATAATAACAAGCAAAGATGATCCCATATGTTAAGGTTATAGATGCTTAACATCAGAACAGCTGGCAGCCCTGTGCAGCAGAAGCAGCGTAGGATGCTCCACCCATGGCAGCTCCTGCTTGGATTTGGGGAGGCTTCTGGAGGCAGAGGGCTGAGTGCCCAGGTCTTGGAGAAGGCCCCCAGCACTCCTCCTTGCAGCCCAGTGCAGCTGCCGCTCGCCAGTGCCTGAGCATTTTCACGTGGGTTGGGTTGTAGGTCCCAAGCTAGGCGTGCGGTGTGTGGTGGGCCTGCGTCCCCCCTGTGTCTGATCCTCTCTGTCTTTCAGTGGTGCTGAACACGCTGCGGCAGCTGAGCACCTCCACCTCCATCCTCACAGACCCGGCGCAGCTGCCGGAGCAGGCGTCTGAGGCCATCACCAGGATTGGCAAGAGACTGGGGGAGTCTTAGCTGCTTAGCTGGCATGTGGCCGCATGAGATGCCAGGAGACCCTTCCCTGCCCATGGAGAGGAGGCTGTGCCCCCCTAAGCCCTTCCTGACACTCAGCCTCGGTGCCTCCCTCCAACTCTGCTGGCCCACCGCACCGTCGGGAGGCCTTGCTCAGGTCTGAAGCAGGTTCGGGGCCTGCTGACAGCAATAGCCCACCTTTGGGAACCCCTTGCTGTGAACTCTCTCACTCAGTGACCTCAGTCACCAACCTCCACTGCCCTTGGGGCAAACAAAAGGGAAGTGCTGGCCGTGCTGGTCTGCCCGCCTGGTGGCCTGCCAGGCCAAGCGCCGGTGAGTGGAACCCTTGGGTTGAGGGTGACAGGGCCTGCTCCTGTCCTGAGACCCAGCCTTGTCCCTCCTGCCATGCCTGTCCACGCGCATGCCTCTGATGTCCTGCTCCACTCTCTGGCCTGCCCATGGGGCAGTTAGAAGGTGTCTTTTTTTCTCCCCTCAACTCTGACAGCTCCCAGCCCTTGTGGATGGACTTGGGCTTCTATTCAGGCTTATGTATGGCAGGCTGCCAGGGGGAAGTGCCTTCTTCAGAGACCCCCGAGGACACATGTTTGCAAAAACAATGGATGTGGAACACACAGGACCAGAATGGAAGCGTACGATGCACAGTGGCTGCTCTGGCTGGGAGGCCCTGCTGGGCATGTTTCATCTGTCCTCTTACAGCTCCATGGGGCCTTCTCGATGTCACCTCACCACCGTGGCCCTTCTGCCATTCTTCACACACCTCCAGCTGCAGCTGTGGACAGGTCAGGTGTGTCCAGTAGGAGCTTAGAACCCTGAAGTTCTAGCATGCAAAAGATCAGACTCCACGTCCTGCTGTCAGCCTTGTCATCTTGTGTGATGTCGTTCAGCTGGGAGCCCCAAACCAGGACAGTTCTCGGACCAAAGATGCCCCCACACTCAAAAATCTGTCCCATCTTGTGTTTGGAGAAGGAAACAGTGTTGGCAGGCAGCAGTCTTCGGTCATTAGCCCTCAGCTGTCTCTAGGCATCTCTCAGATCAGACAGCAAAGAATCTACCCAGATCTGGGCTGGGTGGAGGCATGGCTGGGCTGAGGGCCATTCTGAGCCCACAGCCAGAGGCTGGCTCAGCCTCAGTCCTCGCCTTTCTCTGGTTACCTCTGCAGGGAGCTGCAGGGGCAGGCACTCTTCTCCAGCACTCAGGAAGCCCAGCCAAGAGTACCTTTAAAGCCCTGCTGACGAGTTCAGAGCCGCCAGCAGGCTTTCCAGGCGACCTCTGCCCTCTCTGCCTGCAGGGCCTGGGGAGGGCTTTGAGAGAGCCTGGGAGCCATGTGAAGAGGGGCACCCCTGGGCTGCCCCCAAAGTTTAGATCCAGTTGGAGGCTCTCCTTGGCTCCTGCAGGCCTGCGGGGGTTCTCCCCCCACCTGTAGGTCACCGCCCAGCTGCCTGCCCCCTTGTTGTGCTTCAGCCCCACACAAGAGCAGCTTGGTGACACCACTCAGCCACCCAGAGCGCGTGTTTAAAGGCTTTCCAGATCACCTTCCCGTGGGGTGAACGTAAGATGAGGCCAGGCTGGTCCTTGGAATTACCCCTGGGAAATGCTAACAGACTCCATCCTTTACCTGGGGATAAGCATGAAGGTACCATCCCAAAGGCAGGGACCACCGTGGTAGGAATTCCACCAAGGCCAGAAGGGAAAAAGGAAGAACCCAATGTGGCCAGCTGTGCAGGCCCTGGGGAGGGTCGTGAGTGCAGCCCCTCTCCACTTCCGTGCCTTTGTAAAACGTGTAGATAACCACAGTGGTTGGCTGAGCCAAGAACTCTCCTAAATCAATGGCTTTCTCCCCACCCCTTGCTGGGGAGTCATTTTTTAAAACTCCATGGGATATAAAATTGGCCTCCTGCTGCTTCGGCCTACCTCTCCCTCTGCTGACTTAATGTTGTGATTCTGTTTCTTCAGATATTTAAGGCTGTTAGGTTGTGTGAGCCCTGAAGGGGGTGTGTGCGTGTGTGTGTGTGTGTGTGTGTGTGTGTGTGTGTGTGTGTCCCCGTCCGTCCTAGCGACTGTCTAGTAGATGCATATCTTTGGAGACATTTCTGTAACTCATTCTCTTGGTGCTCACGATTGCCATGGCCATAGGGCCACAATGCCGTATCTCTGCTGCAGACATGATTGTTTCTTTTTCTAGAGGTTTTCTTGTTTTGGAATCTTGCCTGATGAATCCAGCCAGACCAAGGGCCCTAGATTTGACCTCTGTCCTGGGCTCCTGGGCCAGGTACAGGGACATCTGAGGCCACTCTGCTGGCCACCTCCAGTGGATGCTGACCACCAGGTGGGCTTTGTTTACACTCACTTCACCCTGATTCTTGTCTCCACTTCCATAAAAGAAACTTCACAATGCTGACGATTTAGAGAGAAAGAAAATCAACCTGGGCCGTGCGCGGTGGCTCCTGCCTGTGATCCCAGCACTTTGGGAGACTGAGGCTGGAGGATCACTTGAGCTCAGGAGTTGGAGACTAGCCCTGGCAACATAGCGAGACCCTGTCTCTACAAAAAACACACACACACACATTTAGCCAGATGTAGCAGTGAGCACCTGTGGTCCCAGCTACTTGGGGGGCTGAGGCTGGAGGATTGCTTCGGCCTAGAAGTTGCGGTGAGCTATGAACATGCCACACTGCATTCTAGCCTGGGCGATAGAGTGAAACCCTGCCTTTAAATATAGAGGCCAGGTGGGTGGCTGACGCCTGTAATTCCAGCACTTTGGGAGGCCGAGGCAGGTGGATCACCTGAAGTCAGTTCACAACCAGCCTGACCAACATGGTGAAACCCTGTCTCTGTTAAAAATACAAAAAAAAGTTGGGCTTGGTGGTGTACCCCTATGATCCCAGGTACTCAGGAGACAAGAGAATCGCTTGAACCCGGGAGGCAGATGTTGCAGTGAGCCGAGATTGTACCACTGCACTCCAGCCTGGGCAATAGAGCGAAACCCTGTCTCAAAAAAAAGAAAATACAAAGTCAGAAAAGAAAAGCCAGAAGAACTGGTGCCGTACAATTCCCTGTGCTAGTTTCTGAGAAATCCCCGTACGCTGCACCTGCTGCTTTCTGTGGTGGGTGGGAGACCCCAGGGCAGGGCAGGCGCCACTGAGGGCCTTTCTGGGAGTCAGCCAGCAGGCCATGCAGCAGCTGACACCACGAGCGGGCTGGCCTCCTCCAGCAGGAAGCAGTGGCAGCTCTGGCTGTTGGTGCTGATGACAGCATTGGGTCGAGGGGAAGGGGCTGGAAAGCCGCAGACCCCCCAGTGCTGCGCATGGTCCTGGAGCTGTCAGCCAGGGGAGCAGGGTCAGCGTTCAGCCAGCCCTCCCATTTCCTGCCCGTGGGCCCTTAACCACACTCCCTTTTCTAGAAGTCAGTCCTAAGGTTTGTCTGCTCTGGCTAGGAGGATGTAAATTTGGATTCTTAGAGGGCACAGCACCCAAAATCCCAGGGTGGTGCCAGACCCCCAGTCCCTGCCCAGATAAAGTGGCACGGTGGCATGCAGCATTACTGTCTATTGCTGTGGGGGTCTCAAACACCCACCCCATCTCCGTGCACAACTGTGACTGGCCCCGCTGGCAGCTGGGGCGCAGGTAACAGATGGGAGCTGCAGCCGGGAGCTGGTGAGGTCTTGCTGTCATCTGGACAAGACCTTGTGCTCTCAGAACTTGTGGAGTGGAGCTGGGCCTGTCCCGGGCCAGTGGACCCCTGTATGTCGGGGGATTGGGGTGCTGTGGGCCTGGTCCTGCACTGGCAGACAGACCTTGCTTTGGCCCAGCTCTTTTTTACCCTGGCTCCGACGGCAGGCTTGAAGCACCCTCTCATTACCTCTGTTCACCCTCAGCTGTCCCTTTCCCTTGTCTGGTCCGCCTGAGGCCTCCTAGCAGGCAGCCTGGGTGTGAGTTGAGCCTCTCTGTTTTCCTTCTGGTGGGAAAGTGGCCTTTTACCTCTATACCTGCTCCCCAGTGTTTCCTTGGGGAGGAGGGAGAGGGCTGGGCAGCAGTGATCCAGGCAGGCAGCACATGCAGTGGTGGCCAGCCAGGATGCCAAAGCCGCACGGGGATGTGTCGTGTGTCTCCGGGCCTTTGACATCTCTACTTTAGAGGATTTTACCACGTCTGCACACCTGTCGGGGGAGAGGGGACAGCAAGGAGGGAGGCTAAAGAGCTTTGAGGCTCAGCAGCATGTTTGTGGCATTCGGTGGGCGCCGTGGCCTTGGGCGGCTGGACAGGTTTTTGTGAGGGACACACACACGGGGCAGGTGGGAAGCTTGGCGGAGGCTTCAGGAATACTGAGGAAGCTTTTTAGGACCCCCCCACCTCCATGCCTCTACCAGGGCCGGCCCCCTCTCCGCCCCCCCACCCCCACATGGGACTCTGCTTGTCGGGGCTTGCAAAAATCAACCTTTAAGAAAAGGGAACTCTTAACATTGAATGTTGACTGTCTGTGTGTGCATGTGTGTGTGCACGGACGTGCCCTTGCACAAGTTTGCGTGTGCGTGTTTACTTCCTGGAATTTTGTGTGAAATCCTCTTCAATCGTGTAGCAGAATTCACCTCCATTTCCCAGTCACATTGTTGGTTCTGTGCTCTGAACCTGGGTGTAGCTCATTTGAAGGACTCTCTTCTGCATTTCCTAACTGGTATTTGGTGGTCTCAAGCTGAGATTGTGGAGGGTTGGGAGAAACTGAAGTTCTGTACATTTCTATAGAGTTTACATCCTGCAGTTAGAAAGGCAGGTAGGGCTCAGCCCGGGCCCCACAGCTCCAGGCCGTCCCCCACAGGCCTCCCACAGTGCACCTGCTTCTCTAGCTGAATCTTTTCCCACAGCCCGGGAAAGGAGAGCGGGTTCACTTGCTGTTCTGTTCACAGCAGAAGCACCATGTTCTGGTCCTTTTTCAGGTTCAGTTTATTGTGTAAATGGCGTTTTTTTTCTGGTGTGAGTTTTGGTGATCGTGGCCAGGCTCCTTTGAGGAGATGGTTACACCTCGTGGTCTGAAGAAGAAACCCAGAAAAGAGTCTGGTTTGGCCAGAGGCCCCCCGGCCCACGCCACCCTGAGCACGCCCCTCTGATGCTCTGCTGTCGAGAAGCACGTTTCCACCAGCTGTGTTTAACACTACAATGCATTTTTAAAACTATATTTGCATCCAAGACAATAAAGAAACCTTATTTTTTTGAAAAACCTGTGATGTGTGGCCTTAAATGCTATCCTGTTGAGCTATGAAAGAGATGGGAAAATGAAGAGATCTGAGCACAGCAATGCCCTTGGCCAGCTTGCTCCTTCTAACCTCGGGAGGGTAATCGGCCCGGAATGGAGGCATCCGGGTGAGGAAGAGATCCAGGGTGGGAGGGCAATTCTGGAGGTGTGTCCGGAAAGTCGATGGTCCTTAAGACAGGCCTTCCCGCAAAGGCTGATAAGAAAGGCCCAGTGTGGTGGGTTCTGCCTGTGGCCTCAGGAGAGGCTGGTGAGTCATGCCACTGCTCCAGGCCACACCCAGGTGGACAGAGCTCACGGGCGCCCCTATTAACTTCCTGCTTCCTCATCCAGGACTTGGGCAGACAGCACCAGCCCTGCACGCTTGACAGTTTCATGTGAAATCACGTGTGTCTGAGTGTTCAGGAGCCTGTGGAGCTCTGTGCTTAGATAGTGCAGTCATCAGCACAGCGAGCACTAGTCCAGCTCTGCAAAGGCTTCAGAAACAGTGGTGGCCTCCAGGCACTGTGGTCCCCCTGCTTGTTACTGACCCCACACCAGAGACGGGAAAGACTAGAAAGCTGACCAGCAGAAATGTCCTTTTGTTCAGGTACCGAGAAGGTTTGGCTCATCTCTGTTTAATGTAGAAGCTTTTCTCTGCCATTTTCCTGGGCTCCGCACCCACCCACTGGCTCCCTGTGCTTGGACAGGGTGACCCAGTGACAAGAGCCAGCCGGCACAGAGTCGCGGGGTTGCTTCACGGGATGACTGCCCAGATATGTATCTCGATGTAGAATGCAGTGTGCTGATACACAAGCTCTTGTCTGATCAAACCCCCATGCCTCCCCTGAGAAGTCTCCATGACTCAAAGCAAGCCTGGACCTTGAGAACCGGGGGTCCTAGAGGGAAAGGTGAGTGCCTCACAGGCTCCTTTCGGCTGGAAGGAACTCGGTTTCCACTGAGCTCAGCAGCAGGGGTCTGTGTTCATGTTTTGAATTCAGCTCCATACTTACCTGGGATTTCTAAAAGATGGTAGAGGCATGACTGGAGGAGAAAGCAGAGGTTGGGTGGGTGGGGGAGGGAGGAACGGGGACAGGAGCAGGATGGAGTGCCGTTCCTCTGTGCACTGGGCCATGCTCAGGCTTACACTTTGGGCTGCTGCAGGGGTGTATATGGCCCTGAACGGTTCTCAAGGTGGTGGCGTGGCTTATTCCATTTACAGACAAACCAGAGTCACGTCCAAGGTAGCAAGGCCACACGGGTAAGGCCTGTTAACAGGGCTTTTCCATCCTGTAAGTGGCCTCTCCATCCACCATTCGCCAAGCCCAAATCCAGAGAATTATCCCCGATGCCCTTCCTCCCCCTCCCAATGCCAAGTCCTGCCGAGTTTCTCTTCTCAGTGTCTTCTAAATATGTCACCCGCTTTTCTCCATCCCCGCTGCCATCACCTCCGTCCAAGTCATGTCATTGCCCAAGCAGCTCAGGCAGTGGCCTCATCCATCCTCCACGTCCATAGCATGAGCTTTCGAAAGCCCAAGTCTAGCCAGGTTGCTCTTCAATTTTTCCAGCGCTTTCCAGATAAAGGCCCAGGCCCTCAAGGAGGCCCCTCCCCTGCTTTCTTGGCTGTTTTTCATTTTCTGAACACACTAGGTTTGGTTTGGTTTTGCCCTTTACAGTTTTCCCAGGGCCTGTCTCCTCTGCCCAAGCCCTTCCCCATCTCCACTCTTTCCCTTCAGGTTCTTCCTTAAACATCAGATCCTCAGAAACCCCCTTCATACTCCCTCCCCACGCACAGGCATGCGCACACACAGAGTCCAGCCTCGGAGTGGCTCCCAGGACACCGATCGTGTTGTGATTACACAGTTTCTCTTCCCCACCAGATTCCGAGCCCACCGGGACGAGGGCCTGGTGCCATACCTCACACAGACCTGGCAGGAGCAGACATCCAGACAGCCTGTGGATGAAGCCTCGCCACGCCCACCCCGCTCCAGCTGCCTCTGCCCACCGCCCTGGGCACCGGCGGGGCAGGGGAGGAAGGGGGATCAGAGGGCATTGACTCTGAAGACTGCATAGGTAATTTCAAAACTTCAACTTGAGTAATTGTAGATATAAGACTAATCTCTAAATGCATGACAAGCATTTCATCTTGTTACGGACTTGCTTCTGCAGAACATGGTTTCCCTTATTTTTGGTGAAGATCTGAAATTAGATTTGTATAGGGTGGCATGATTGAATTTATCCTGAAGTTTAATGAATACACTTTTTACCTTTTGAGTTCAGAAAATCTCCAGTACACACAGAAGTGGAGAACAGTATAATGAACCCCTCATCTCATCAAGAATGCCCACCATCCACTTTGACAACTGTCAACTCAGGGCCAATTTTGTTTTCTTCTAAGACCTCATGCCCACCTCCATTATTTTGAAGCACATTGCAGACACCATATGGATTTCTTCTGTTAAGTATGCTTTTCTTTGCTTTCTTTTTTTTTTTTTTTTTTTTTTTGAGACAGACTCTTGCTCTGTTGCCCAGGCTGGAGGGCAATGGTGTAATCTCAGCTCACTGTAACCTCTGCCTCCTGGATTCAAGTGATTCTCGTACCTCCTCCTCCCAAGTACCTGGGACTACAGGTGCCTGACACCAGGCAGGGCTAATTTTTATATTTTTAGGAGAGACAGAGTTTCACCATGTGAGTTCAGGCTGGTCTCAAACTCCTGGCCTCAAGTGATCCACATGCCTCAGCCTCCCAAAGTGCTAGGATTACAGACATGAGCTACCACACACAGCTGTAAGTATGCTTTTTAATACCAGTTCCAGAATTGCATATATACCTGCAATTTTGGTCATTTAAAAGTTCCCAAAGGCGGCTGGGCATGTGGCTCATGCCTGGAATCCCAGCACTTTGGGAGGCCTAGGCAGGCGGATCACCTGACATCAGGAGTTTGAGACAAGCCTAACCAACAGAGAGAAACACCATCTCTACTAAAAATATAAAAATAGGGCCGGGCGCAGTGGCTCACGCCTGTAATCCCAGCACTTTGGGAGGCTGAGGCGGGTGGATCACAAGGTCAAGAGATCGAGACCATCCTGGTCAACATGGTGAAACCCCATCTCTACTAAAAACACAAAAAATTAGCTGGGCATGGTGGCGCGTGCCTGTAGTCCCAGCTACTTGGGAAGCTGAGGCAGGAGAATTGCCTGAACCCAGGAGGCGGAGGTTGCGGTGAGCCGAGATTGCGCCATTGCACTCCAGCCTGGGTAACATGAGTGAAACTCCGTCTCAAAAAAAAAAAAAAAAAAAAATACAAAAATAGCTGGGTGTGGTGGCACATGCCTGCAATCCCAGTTACTAGAGAGGCTGAGGCAGGAAAATCACTTGAACCCGGGAGGTGGAGGTTGTGGTGAGCCGAGATCTCGCCATTGCACTCCATCCTCGGTAACATGAGTGAAACTCTGTCTCTTTCTTTTTTCTTTTCTTTTTTTTTTTTTAACACGGGATTTTACCATGTTGGTCAGGCTGGTCTTAAACTCTTTTCTTTTCTTTTCTAAGACGGGGTTTCACTATGTTGGGCAGGCTGGTCTTGAACTCCCGACCTCAGGTGATCCGCCTGCCTTGGCCTCCAAAGTGCTTGGATTATAGGCGTGAGCCACCATGCCCAGCCTCTTTCTTTTTTCTTCCTGGAAGATATCACACTAGTCCAGAAACTCCGTCTTAAAAAAAAAAAAAAAAAAAAAAAAAAAAGTTTCCAAAGGCTTTGTGAAAAGCTACAAAATCACAGTTAGTAAGAAACCCGGGGAATGGGGCATTCTGATTGATCAGATATTCTGTTTTACTGAAAATCATTAGCTAGAAAACCCTTATTGTGTAGAGAGAGGAAAAGCTATTTAAGATAAGAGTCTCCTTTCCTGCCTTAATGGGTATGGCACAGTGAGCAGTCTAATCTCTTCATCTAGTCTGACTGATTTTCACTCCTGGGGGAAGTACTGAACAGAGCTGGTTAATTCTATTACAGTTTTGCAGTGGGGGTGGGGCCTGAGTGAGCAGGGGTTAGTGGTCCTTCCCACCTGCCCCCCTCACCTGTCCCACAGCCCTGATTCCAACCTGTTGGTGTCTCCCAAGTTCCCAGCACCACCCATCCGTGGACTATAATGACCTTGTGTCAACTCTCCTGTATGTACTGAGATCTGTGTAAGTTTCTCCAGCTTCTCTCCCTCCTTTCCCTAATACTTGCTGTGTGTTTACCCGACTCTTCCTTTTTTATTCTCCTTTGATCAAGATGTGTGTCCTGGCTGGGCGCGGTGGCTCACGCCTATAATCCCAGCACTTTGGGAGGCCGAGAAGCGGGGACCACTTGAGGTCAGGAGTTTGAGACCAACCTGGCCAACATGGCGAAACCCTGTCTCTACTAAAAATACAGAAATTAGCCAGGTGTGGTGGTGCATGTTTATAATCCCAGGCACTTGGGAGGTTGGGGCCAGAGGATCGCTTGGAACCCAGGAGGCAGAGGTTGCAGTGAGCCAAGATCATGCCACTGCACTCTAGCCTGGACAACAGAGCAAGACTCTATTTAAAAAAAAAAAAAAAAAATGGCCAGGAGCAGTGACTTACATGTGTAATCCCAGCACTTTGGGAGGCTAAGGTGGGTGGATCACCTGAGGTTAGGAGTTCCAGATCAGGCTGGCCAGCATGGTGAAACCCCGTCTCTACTAAAAATACAAAAAACAATTAGCTGGGCATGGTGGCAGTTGCCTGTAATCCCAGCTACTTAGGGGGCTGAGGCAGCAGAATTGCTTGAACCCAGAGGCAGAGGTTGCAGTGAGCTGAGATCTCAACACTGCATTCCAGCCTGGGTGTCAGAGTGAGCCTCTGTCTCAAAAAAAAAAAAAAAAAAAAAAAAAAAAAATGTATGTACTGAAGGTTGTATTTGAATGAGGCTCAGAGAATACAGCAGTGACTTTACTGTAAATGCAATAAAATCTGTGTTGATACCTATGGTAGGTTGTGGTAGGTGGCTTCTGAGCCAGGAACCAGCAGAACAAGCAGAGATCAACCAGCAAAGGGTTGTGGGGGCAAGGAGGCAGAAGGGAGCTCCCATGCAGAGCCCCTTAGGGAAGAGCAAACTTCACAGGAACAGCGGCCAAATCTCACATCGCAGAGGTGTTGTCTTTTGCTGGACCATTCCCTTTGTTCCCCGCTGGGGCTTTCTCTTGTCAGTGATCTCTTCTGTCCCTTGCATTTTTCTCCTTTTTCATTGACTCATTCCTCTCTATTCACAAGTTTCTCTTTCTCAAGTCTCTCTCCCTCTAACTAACCTAACTTTTACTCTCCATCTCTGTGCCCAAAACTTGTTCTTCCGCAAACGCTCTGCATCCCGATAAATGGCATTAGCGTCTCCCCAACTGCTCCCGCGGGAAACTCAGACAGAGCCCTGGCCTCTCCCTTTCCCTCTCTTCCCACATTCAGCGATTAGCAAGTCTCCCCAATAACACCTCCAGAATACAGACGGCCCTGGCTTCCCCCCTCCCCCGCCGAGATGGTGTCTCGCTCTGTCGCCCAGGCTGGAGTGCAGGGGTGCAGCCTCAGCTCCCTGCAACCTCCAGACCTCCTGAGTTCAAGCGATTCTCCTGCCTCAGGCTCCTGAGTAGCTGGGATTACAGGTGTACAGGTATCTGCCTCCATGCCTGGCTAAATTTTGTATTTTTAGTAGAGATGGGATTTCACCATCTTGGCTGGTCTTGAATTCCTGACCTCAAGTGGTCTGCCCACTTCGGCCTCCCAAAGTGCTGGGATTACAGGCGTGACCCACCGCATCCAGCCTGGAATCGTCTTTTAAAAAGATGCTGCAGCCGGGCGCGGTGGCTCAAGCCTGTAATCCCAGCACTTTGGGAGACCGAGGCGGGTGGATCATGAGGTCAGCAGATCGAGACCATCCTGGTCAACATGGTGAAACCCCGTCTCTACTAAAAATACAAAACATTAGCTGGGGATGGTGGCGCGTGCCTGTAATCCCAGCTACTCAGGAGGTTGAGGCAGGAGAATTGCCTGAACCCAGGAGGCGGAGGTTGCAGTGAGCCGAGATCGTGCCATTGCACTCCAGCCTGGGTAACAAGACTGAAACTCTGTCTCAAAAAAAAAAAAAAAAAAGATGCTGCTTCAACTTCCAGCAGCTTCCCATTGCATTGAGAATGAAATCTAAGGCTGGGTGTGATGGCTCACACCTGTAATCCCAGCACTTTGGGAGGCCAAGGCAGACAGATCACCGGAGGTCTGGAGTTTGAGACCAGGCTGGCCAACATAGTGAAATCCCGTCTCCACTAAAAATACAAAAAATTAGCCTGGCGTGGTGTCAGGCACTTGTCGTCCCAGCTATTCAGGAGGCTGAGGCAGAAGAATCGCTTGAACCGGGGAGGCGGAGGTTGCAGCGAGCCAAGATCACGCCACTGCATACCAGCCTGGATGACAGAGCAAAACTCCATCTTAAAAAAAAGATGAAATCAAAAGTCCTCATCATTAAGTGCTAGTCCCTCGAGATCTGGGTCCTGAGTGACTGCCTGGGTGAGTGACAGCATCCTGTGCCTGGAAGTCTTCTTCTATGAAATGTGGATAATAATCACACCTCTCCCGTGGATTCCTAGAATTACGTATGCTGAGTTTGTAGTCAGCATCTATAAAGGCAGCAACTTTTCTTATTCTTCATCTCTGTTCCAATTCCCAACAAAATGTCTCGGTTTATATCAAGGCCACCACTAAGACTGGTCAGCTCAGTCAGTAACACCCTGGCAGCATTCCTGAGTTTTCTTTCTTCACGACAGCCTGCCCTTCCCTTCTCATTCATCAAATCTTTTTTTTTTTTTTTTTTTTTTTGAGACGGAGTTTCGCTCTCGTTGCCCAGGCTGGAGTGCAATGGCACGATCTCGGCTCACCGCAACCTCCGCCTCCTGGGTTCAGGCAATTCTCCT